TTTGGTGCATCTCTAAAGATGATAACATTCTACGGACTGTTTACATTCTTCACACATACTCTGTTTGGATTTGAAGTGGTCTTTACCCCGGCAGGTAAGCCACTCATTTCCCCCATGCGTTGTAGATCAATACCAATCTCAATGTGTGTGTGTGTGTATGGGGGGGGGGGGGAGATTCTGTTTGTTTGGGAGGGGGGGGGCAAGCATGGGTGTCTGTGTCCGTGTCTGTGTTTACATCTGCGTGCATACTTGTGTGCGTATGTGGTGGATGCTCGTGGAAGTGGAGGAGTGGGAGGGGGCGGGGAGGAGGCAGACGTGCGTGTGTTGCAGATCACACGTCTGTCGCATCTGTGTGTGTGTGTGTGTGGTGGGGAAGGGAAGGGAATGGAAGGAAGGGAAGAGATTTCTGTACCATAACTATATCTGAGTGTGTGTGTCTAGGGGGATTGCATGGAGGTGAGTTTGAGTAGGGGATAGAGCTGGAAAGTTGTTTGTGTCTAGGGGGATTGCATGGAGGTGAGTTTGAGTAGGGGATAGAGCTGGGAAGTTGTTTGTGTCTAGGGGGATTGCATGGAGGTGAGTTTGAGTAGGGGATAGAGCTGGGAAGTTGTTTGTGTCTAGGGGGATTGCATGGAGGTGAGTTTGAGTAGGGGATAGAGCTGGGAAGTTGTTTGTGTCTAGGGGGATTGCATGGAGGTGAGTTTGAGTAGGGGATACAGCTGGGAAGTTGTTTGTGTCTAGGGGGATTGCATGGAGGTGAGTTTGAGTAGGGGATAGAGCTGGGAAGTTGTTTGTGTCTAGGGGGATTGCATGGAGGTGAGTTTGAGTAGGGGATACAGCTGGGAAGTTGTTTGTGTCTAGGGGGATTGCATGGAGGTGAGTTTGAGTAGGGGATAGAGCTGGGAAGTTGTTTGTGTCTAGGGGGATTGCATGGAGGTGAGTTTGAGTAGGGGATAGAGCTGGGAAGTTGTTTGTGTCTAGGGGGATTTGCATGGAGGTGACTTTGAGTAGGGTATTGAGCTGGGAAGATGTTTGTGTCTAGGGGGATTGCGTGGAGGTGAGTTTGAGTAGGGGATAGAGCTGGGAAGTTGTTTGTGTCTAGGGGGATTGCATGGAGGTGAGTTTGAGTAGGGGATAGAGCTGGGAAGTTGTTTGTGTCTAGGGGGATTGCATGGAGGTGAGTTTGTGTAGGGGATAGAGCTGGGAAGTTGTTTGTGTCCTACCTACATGTACGTACATGTGAAACACGGTGGCCCAATTGTTAGATATTACCTTGTTCATATTGTAGTACAGACCCACTACAGGTGTATTGAATCAGCCCCCCCCCCTCCTCCCCTCTCCCCCCCCCCCTCCTCCCCTCTCCCCCCCCCTTCCCCCTCCCCTTCCCTTTCCCCCTCCCCTCCCCTTCCCCTTCCCCCTTCCCTATGTCCATTCCTGCAGTAAATACCTGGGTTCACATATGCAGTGCATTCATTGAAATAATCATGGTCTCTGAAGTGTTAAGTGTCAGGTATATGTAGATATCATGCAATGTTGTTCTGCACTACATGTACACACACATGTGTATTGGAGGCTGAGGTTACACGACGGGATCCACTCTCAGGCATTTCCTCCAGCTTGACTGTAGCATCACAATACAACTGTCCTGTGTTCTGTGCTGTTCATGTTGTCTTACTTATACTTGCAGTAATCTCAGCTTTGTTTGCCGCCATACCTCTACTAGGCAGCTACTGGGTAGCACTGCCCGCATCACTCTACCTGGCTGTTGCGCAACAGTCCTGGATCAAAGCATCACTGCTGTTCGGCCTGCACTTTCTCTGCTACAATGTTGTCGACGTGGCCATATACTCTGAGATCAAAGGGTACGTGCTGTATGGGCCTTTTACAATATGCACTGGATTTATAATAGATTGATACTGTTTTGGGAGCGTGTGTCTACTGGCAGACATGGCACATGCACTGTATGATCTGTGGACTGCAGTGTCATAGCGTGTTGTCCTGCCAGTCCGGTTTTGATCTCACTATTGGCTGAGAAAGGAGTGCAAAATTTGAGCATTTGCAGGCCGATGTTTCATAACACTTACCGCGGACCCGTATCCCCTTTGGGCCGACCATCCATAGTCGTACTGCTGCCATCCACGGTCACTGTATGCAGACCCTGTGATTTGAAAATAGGTGGCGAGTGATCTATCGCTCTCCTCGCCTGTGTCAGGCGAGCTGTAGGAGAGTGATCCAAAAATTCTCACTCCAAAAACACAGCACATTATTGATATCATTTTTTAGAGAAAAAATTCTGGATGCTTTCTGAATTTCCACCATTGTCTTGAAAGATGACAGCGGTTGGCCGTTAACTGCCATTAAATATGCAGTGTGGAAGAGCTTTTCGTATGCGTCCTCCGCTTGGACTAGAATAGCTGTGTGGATGCGTGGCTGCTAAGGCGCTTGTGTTGCCTTGCTCCCTGATGCAGACGTCGACGATGATTCGTCGGTGTCACCCAATAGCTTCGCACGGCTCACTCCGATGCTATGCGCCTACATGACAACAAGCGAAGAAAACAAGGAGAATGGTCGCGAGTCCGATCGACTTTACTTTCGACATTGAATTGACCACTTACCTGTCCAGACAAATGTCGAGTGACAGCGTGCTTCGTCACTAGTCCGATCCCTCCACAAACCTCAACGCATCGACCTTCGCTTGACCTCTCAGCCATAGAGTCGCTCCGGATAACGTCAGAATACTTCGCACACGACTTGCACCACACTTTCACGACCAGCTCTTTACCTTCCTTCTTCACCGAGTTGAAGCCTATGTCCTCATCTACTTTCCAGCTGAGGAAAGTGGACAACTGCACACTGTTCCCTTTCGACATTTCTACTGCTAGCAGCAGCAGGAGATCACCAGCAAGGGATCATGTCGCAAGGAAAGAAAACAACTGGTATGATCAACTCCAGTTGACCAATTGGCCTTTTATTCTAAGAGTAAGAGGACGAAAGCGCCATTTGGGTGCATTTACTTGCAACGCATGCACTAGCAGAACTACCAGAACTACTAGTCTATGTCAGACTGCGGTCTATCTTGCTACTCGGACCCGCCAGGCGCTAGTTCAGAGGGTTGTACGGACCCCTGCGCTGCATGCAGGGGTCCGTAAAACCCGTTGAACTGGAGTGTTTCATGAGTGGTGGTAGATCTACGCGGCACAGCTCTGACTAGTTCAAGCCGCAATCATTCATCCAGACGTGTGAAATGCCCCGAGGTCATGCCAGGCTAGCTGGGCGCGCCAGTGCAGTGCCTGTGTCACACTCACAGTGTAGATCTACGTGCAGTGAACTTGCCTACTCAGTACTGTGCATGTCACTACACATGACTAACTCACTGTCTAGTCTGTTTCATAACAGCGCGAGCGGGCATAGTTCCGGCCTGCGCACGGATCGATGAGTACACTTGACACCATACACTCGTACTAGTCATAGTACAGTAGTAGTTGCGCTGCACTCCGAAAAGCGTACATGCAGCCAAAAATAGTTTCAGGCGCGCGACAAAAAGTGCACCTTCCAAGAAAATAAGGCGCGCGATGGCGCGCGAGAGCGATCGCTCGCCTCAAATCACAGGGTCTGCCTGAGTGTATGTGTGATATGAGTGAACAATGTGGCAAGTGTACTCATTACTACAGTATACCATACTACAGTATACCATACTACAGTATACCATACTATAGTACACCATACTACAGTACACCATACTACAGTACACCATACTACAGTACACCATACTACAGTACACCATACTACAGTACACCATACTACAGTACACCATACTACAGTACACCATACTACAGTATACCATACTACAGTATACCATACTACAGTATACCATACTACAGTATACCATACTACAGTACACCATACTACAGTACACCATACTACAGTACACCATACTACAGTACACCATACTACAGTACACCATACTACAGTATACCATACTACAGTATACCATACTACAGTATACCATACTACAGTATACCATACTACAGTATACCATACTACAGTACACCATACTACAGTACACCATACTACAGTACACCATACTACAGTACACCATACTACAGTATACCATACTACAGTATACCATACTACAGTACACCATACTACAGTACACCATACTACAGTACACCATACTACAGTACACCATACTACAGTATACCATACTACAGTATACCATACTACAGTACACCATACTACAGTACACCATACTACAGTACACCATACTACAGTACACCATACTACAGTACACCATACTACAGTACACCATACTACAGTATACCATACTACAGTATACCATACTACAGTACACCATACTACAGTACACCATACTACAGTATACCATACTACAGTATACCATACTACAGTATACCATACTACAGTACACCATACTACAGTACACCATACTACAGTACACCATACTACAGTACACCATACTACAGTACACCATACTACAGTACACCATACTACAGTACACCATACTACAGTACACCATACTACAGTACACCATACTACAGTACACCATACTACAGTATACCATACTACAGTATACCATACTACAGTACACCATACTACAGTACACCATACTACAGTATACCATACTACAGTATACCATACTACAGTATACCATACTACAGTACACCATACTACAGTATACCATACTACAGTACACCATACTACAGTACACCATACTACAGTATACCATACTACAGTACACCATACTACAGTATACCATACTACAGTACACCATACTACAGTACACCATACTACAGTACACCATACTACAGTATACCATACTACAGTATACCATACTACAGTACACCATACTACAGTACACCATACTACAGTACACCATACTACAGTATACCATACTACAGTACACCATACTACAGTACACCATACTACAGTATACCATACTACAGTATACCATACTACAGTATACCATACTACAGTACACCATACTACAGTACACCATACTACAGTACACCATACTACAGTATACCATACTACAGTATACCATACTACAGTATACCATACTACAGTACACCATACTACAGTACACCATACTACAGTATACCATACTACAGTATACCATACTACAGTATACCATACTACAATACACCATACTACAGTACACCATACTACCATACTACAGTATACCATACTACAGTATACCATACTACAGTACACCATACTACAGTATACCATACTACAGTATACCATACTACAGTACACCATACTACAGTACACCATACTACAGTACACCATACTACAGTACACCATACTACAGTACACCATACTACAGTATACCATACTACAGTATACCATACTACAGTACACCATACTACAGTACACCATACTACAGTACACCATACTACAGTATACCATACTACAGTATACCATACTACAGTACACCATACTACAGTATACCATACTACAGTATACCATACTACAGTACACCATACTACAGTATACCATACTACAGTATACCATACTACAGTACACCATACTACAGTACACCATACTACAGTACACCATACTACAGTACACCATACTACAGTACACCATGCTACAGTACACCATACTACAGTATACCATACTACAGTACACCATACTACAGTATACCATACTACAGTATACCATACTACAGTATACCATACTACAGTATACCATACTACAGTACACCATGCTACAGTACACCATACTACAGTATACCATACTACAGTACACCATACTACAGTATACCATACTACAGTATACCATACTACAGTATACCATACTATAGTACACCATACTACAGTACACCATACTACAGTACACCATACTACAGTATACCATACTACAGTATACCATACTATAGTACACCATACTACAGTACACCATACTACAGTACACCATACTACAGTACACCATACTACAGTACACCATACTACAGTACACCATACTACAGTACACCATACTACAGTACACCATACTACAGTATACCATACTACAGTACACCATACTACAGTACACCATACTACAGTACACCATACTACAGTACACCATACTACAGTATACCATACTACAGTACACCATACTACAGTATACCATACTACAGTACACCATACTACAGTACACCATACTACAGTATACCATACTACAGTACACCATACTACAGTATACCATACTACAGTACACCATACTACAGTACACCATACTACAGTACACCATACTACAGTACACCATACTACAGTACACCATACTACAGTACACCATACTACAGTATACCATACTACAGTATACCATACTACAGTACACCATACTACAGTATACCATACTACAGTACACCATACTACAGTATACCATACTACAGTACACCATACTACAGTACACCATACTACAGTACACCATACTACAGTACACCATACTACAGTACACCATACTACAGTACACCATACTACAGTACACCATACTACAGTACACCATACTACAGTACACCATACTACAGTATACCATACTACAGTATACCATACTACAGTACACCATACTACAGTATACCATACTACAGTACACCATACTACAGTACACCATACTACAGTACACCATACTACAGTATACCATACTACAGTACACCATACTACAGTACACCATACTACAGTACACCATACTACAGTACACCATACTACAGTACACCATACTACAGTACACCATACTACAGTACACCATACTACAGTACACCATACTACAGTATACCATACTACAGTACACCATACTACAGTACACCATACTACAGTACACCATACTACAGTACACCATACTACAGTACACCATACTACAGTATACCATACTACAGTACACCATACTACAGTATACCATACTATAGTATGGTATACTGTAGTATGGTGTACTGTAGTATGGTAATTTATATTAATTATATTACTATAGTATGGTATACTATACTACAGTATACCATACTATGGTTTACAGGGCTGTAAAGTCAAACACCTCTTCAGAATGGCAGAGGTCTTACTCTCACCCATTTTCACTGCATGCTGTTCTTCAGTGTGAGTTGGGTACACATGGGTGAGACGGTATAGGAGCATTCCCCAGCCCTGGTTTTCAAGAAATGGCTAACGTTAGTGCGCCTACATGCAGTACCTGGAGTAAGTATGCAGACCCAGCAAACAATGGTTGTGCGTGTGTATGGCAAACAAGCTGCTCTAACCAAACGGGGTCTAGGACTGAAGAACCTGAGCGTCTTCTACTTGGCTAGGACAGCTAGCTTGCCGTGTGCATGCACGACTAGGTTGACTTTGCTTGCATCCTGCTGTCGTTTTAGCTAATAGATCACTGATTGGCTCTCATCGTGTTGTGTGTTGTGTGTGTGTGTACGTGTGTGTGTGTGTGTGTCTGTGTTGTATCTGTGTATGTGTATGTGTGCAGTGGTGGACATCCATACCTGACCGGCTTGGCTGTGGCCGGGGGTATGTACATATTTGGACTGGAAGGCGCAGTCATCGGCCCTATCATCCTGTGCTGTGGCCTGGCAGCCATGGACATCTACCGCACCATGCTCAATCCTAGTATTCAGAAAACCTAGCCACAGTTATCAGCAGCAGCATCAGCACCATCACCAGCCACACATCTTTACAGGTCAATCTTCCTGTTTGTTGTTGTGGATCCATGTTTCATGTTGGAACGGAAAATGTTATCTCAATTCCGTATTTGCTGCGAATGGTGTCCAATTCTTGAAAGTTATTTATTGAGATCATGATACTTCAATTCTGGAAAAGAAGTTTGACGGAATTTAAGTATCAGCGCATCTTGGCTGGCTCTCTTTCGTATTTCTTTGAGTATGATTGCGAGTGATCAGTTTGTATTTCTTTGAGCCTGATTGCGAGTGATCAGTTTGTATTTCTTTGAGCCTGATTGCGAGTGATCTGTTTGTATTCAATGCCTGCACATTCCCTAACAGTGTCGTGTAGTGTGATATTAAATTGGTACTGGAGACCAAGGTAAAACATAGATCACAGTCGTATAGTTGTATCACAACAGGCTACTACGGCTCATCAGTTGTCTAAGGTGTGCACCTAGTCAGATCAAGCATTGATTATTCGCTTACACTTTGGACAGCAAATCCGCCCATTCTCTTGCTCCTTGATTTCCACTTCTTGATAAGCCCTTTCTTGAACCATGAAATGTATTTCTGTTAACATTCCGCAACTGTTTGCATGAGTTACTTCGGCTTCACTCTACACCGTATTTTAGTTATAATAATAATATTATGTAGCATGTGTGGATCTACTCACCTTCCGCTGATTAAGGAGAGCTGCATCTGCACCTTGATCCTTGAGGTGGTGGCGTTCCCACGGATATGGAGAACTCTGTCTGACTGGCAAATCGCGCGACTCCGTGACATATATTAGCGTGTTGTGTGTGTGGGATGAACACATCTGGTATGACATTAATTGCATGCAATGGAACCACTGCGCGGTGTCAAGATTTCTCGTGATAATATCATATTATTATTATACTTGTTGCACAGACTGTCAGTGGTCGCAAGTAAAATCCAGCTTGGAGAACATTATAGTCCAGGGACTGCCTAAGAGTGACTTTGAACCGTGGAATGTGCAGTGATAGTCATGGGGCTGGATTTTATTTGACCCCACCAAGCACCAGTAAATTTTACTGGTCTGACTTAGTGTGAGCATAATCAGTGCATGCTCAAGGACTAGAACTACGTGTACACTGGTACCACTTTATGTTTGGCACGAGTTGCTCATGAGCTGCTCAAAATGGGCACATGGTTGGAAAGTGGTACATGAATTGCCGGCTGTCAGTGTTATGACATAGCTGATGTGATGGAACGAGGCAAGAATAATTATTATTATTTTTGCAATTCGCAATTGTCCATAATTTGCAATTCTGGTTCACGTAGAACATGCCGAGTTTATCAGTCGTGAAATGAAGAGGACTATGCGATCAGGAAGACAATAACTACGCTAGGAGTTTGGTTTAGCTGATAGTCGGTGACTCTGAACTGACCTGTGTGTTAGTAAGGCAAACCATGATTGTGTACTAATTGCTCAAGGTTACGCGTAGGGGTCATGAAGGTGTAGCGTGTAAACTGAGCAGCGTACAGCTAGTGTCTGTGTGTAAATAAGAACATGCTCTTGGTGACCAGGGTAAATATTATGATGATGTCATACCTGCCTGGTCTTCCAATTTGCTGGGATTATCTTGCATTTTGGATGAGCTATTGAGATGGAAAGATGCAAGTTGCCAATACATGTAATCAGATAGTTTAGTACAGTAATGTTCACACCACACTGCATGGGTATGCCCTGTGCATGTGCTCAATATGCCTTCCATTATACTATAGACCAGGGACAGAAAATCAAGCATCATTTGTATGAAGGATAGAAAACAAGAACACCTAAATATGGGATTCAAATTGACGTGTCTCGTATCTTAATGTCTTCAGAGGCACTTGAGCCAAGTATCTTGTTCCTGGAAGGCTGGCGCATTCTTCCTTTGCCAGCCAGGCGCCGTTGTCTCCGTATCAGAGCAACTAGGCAGAGGGATAGGAACATTACGAAAGCCAGTCCTCCAGCCGCTGCAGCTATTAGCGTGACCGACACTGTTGTATGCCCATTACCAGCACCTGGACAGAAGTGATACATGCCGGGTAAAAAATATTATCATTACCGAAGCTACGCAGAATATGGAACGAATAGTGGTGTCTGGTTCTAGCCACGGTCCACAGCGCTTTAATTTCGGATCTTTTGTGCATGTATGTGTTGTTTGTATGTGTATGTCTGTGTGTGTGTGTGTGTGTGTGTGTGTGTGTGTGTGTGTGTGTGTGTGTGTGTGTGTGTGTGTGTGTGTGTGTGTGTGTGTGTGTGTGTGTAGGCTTTCCCCAAATCGGCCCGTTTTTTTCGCCTGTTCGGCAAAATTGGAATATATTGGGAAATCGGCAAATAGAATTGTTGGCCTATCGGCTTCAAGATTGGTGAGATATTGGAAGATTTGGTAGATTTTCGGCGATTCTCAAAGAAACCCTCCAAAATCGGTGAAAAGCTTAGCGATTTTTCGATAAGTCTCGTTTTCGGTGACTTTTTCGCGCCCCGATTTGGGGATTTTACTAGTGACGGTCTTCCTAATGGCTAATGTTTGTTTGAGAGGAGGTCAAATGACACGAATCACACGACCTCAAAATCCTAACAGTACAAGTAGTGAAGTAGATAGCTCGACCTGTCATGCTTGCAGCAACATCATTAGTTCGTACTGATGGTAAGCGCACTTTGCAACAACATTTGTAGATTTTCGGCAATTCTCAAAGGAACCCTCCAAAATCGGCGAAAGGCTTATCAATTTTTCGAAAAGTCTCGTTTTCGGCGAAATTTTCGACCGGCCGATTTGGGGAAAGCCTATCTGTGTGTGCGTGTGTCTGCGTGTGTGCGTGCACGCGCATGTGTGTGTGGCCGATCATTGCGTGACCGACTGTTTCTTGTCACGCATCAGTCATGACTGCTCATGTGACTGATGACGTCAGCAGGGCACAGCAAGATGATCATGATGATGACGTCAGCGGCGCTCAGTAAGATGATCATGATGATGAACCAGCATAACGAAGGGTCCTTAGCTGGTGGCAAGTACCGGCTTTTACAGAAAATGATTGTGATTCTTGTTGTTTTGGATCATTCACTTGTGAGGTCTGCATTCGACACTGGGATATAATGGGCGAAGTGGTGGCCCGCCGATGTGAACGTCTTTACTCGATGTGTTCCTGAACACGTGGGGTGATGCGGCCACGAATCCGGCTATCTCTACTTTACTTTTGGGTTTGTAACTTTTGGATCATTCCTTCTGTATAGTAGAATGGGTTCTTACAGGTTGTAACAACCACTGATGGTTGTCATGGTGATTTGTAACCAGACTGTATGTCAACATACTGGGTGGTGGTGGTGGTCAGACAGGTACACAGTGTGCTGCAACACCATCATAGTAATACACACATTGTAACACACATTGTAACACACATTGTAACACACACACTCTAGCACACACTGCAAACGTATACCTGTCGTTTCTTGAATAGGTAGGTATGGTGATGTTGCCACTACTCTCATCTGCACACATAAAAATCGAATAAATTAAAAAAATATTTGAACAGGCGGCGAGGCGACACAAGTTTATTGCCATCCTTCAATTAAAAAATATCGAATAAATTTTCTATAAAAGGGCCCAAAATAATATTTTAATCCCGGTTTCTTTTCCGTGAACTTGTTTATTTTATACCGAGCTTTGTACAGCATGACGAAATGTGAGTCCAAAGTCGTTCGTCCAGAATCTCTTTCTAACAAAACATGGCTCGCAATGCTGTTGCATGCACAAATTCCTCACCTGGGAGTATTGACCAGCATCCTCACTGGCCTGCGCTGCTGCCTGATACCATAGTGTGAAGGTGTGTCTGGGCGCGAGGGGACCATTCTCCCACTGCCCGAGTCTCGTCCCATCACCGACCGTCACGGGCAATACGGCCCTGTGTCCAAACAACGACGAGTGGAACTCCGCCACAACGTATGCCATCGGCGTGGAGCCTGGCTGCCTTGTCTCCAGTGCTTCAGCGTAAGAGTAGACATTGGGTCCGGTCAAGTTGTATAGAATGTCGGGTGAAACATGAAACACTCTGCTCGATGAGCTGCTCAGGTTAGCTGGTCCAAGGTTGATGGCAATGACTGTGTACTGGCTGCAGTAGCAAGCAGATCATCAACAAAGATGGACCAACTACCCAGGAGATGGGGTGTAGTGGGGGGGGGGGGGGGGGGTGCCAACTCAGAAAGAAGACTATCAAGTCATAAACTTGTCCTACTTCACCCTGGAAAATATATCTTCTCATGTTAGATTTTTTTGTGCTGCGCTGACGAGTCCACAAAGGACGAAACAGTTCTGTCCGCAGATTGAGTATCTTCTCATGTTATAATTTTCTACCATTGTTAAACAGTAGCAGCTGCAGTACATGCTGACATTGTGAGTGTATTCAAACTGTAACATAGCATTGGAGTTGCTTTATCTGTTACACTAGAACATGCTCTTGCTCGTCTTAGAAAATTTATTGCCCACCCCTGACTTCAATTCCACCCCCCCCCCCCCCCCTCCGCCCCACTTGCCCTTGGCGTACAATGTTCGATAAAGGACAGATTCTTCTGAAAGGCAGTGTTTTTATCCTTATACCAAGCATGCATGGAAAATCCCAGCAAAGTACCATTTTCTGATAACTCTTCCGTAGGCAGTATCTGCAAAGGGCTACCCCCCCCCCCCTCCATCCCAGTATTCATGGGTTGATAACAAGGAAGTAGGCAAGGCAAGGGCTACCCCCTCCCCCCCCCCCCCTCCACCCCAGTATTCATGGTTTGATAACAAGGAAGCAGGCAAGGCAAGGGCTACCCCCCCCCCCCCTCCACCCCAGTATTCATGGGTTTGATAACAAGGAAGTAGGCAAGGCAAGGGCTACCCCCCCCCCTCCATCCCAGTATTCATGGGTTTGATAACAAGGAAGTGGGCAAGGCAAGGGCTTACCCCCCCCCCCTCCACCCCAGTATTCATGGGTTTGATAACAAGGAAGCAGGCAAGGCAAGGGCTACCCCCCCCCCCCTCCACCCCAGTATTCATGGGTTTGATAACAAGGAAGTAGGCAAGGCAAGGGCTACCCCCCCCCCCTCCACCCTAGTATTCATGGGTTTGATAACAAGGAAGTAGGCAAGGCAAGGGCACGCTCAAGGTTTCGTGAGGAGACCTATCCATCGACTCACAGATCTTGTTGGTAGTCAAACTTTCGAATGGGCCATGTCAATGATGTGGGTGTTCCGGGCTGTGGTGGACTCCATGGTATCAACAGCTCACTACCTATGACGGATACAGGGTACACACACATACGTACACCCACACACATACACTCAGACACACACACACACACACACTCAGACACACATATGCATACACACATACACACACATACACACACATACACACACACATACACACACACACACACACACACACATACACACACGCATGGACACACACACACACAAACACACACACTCAGACACATATGTACCATGTACCATGTATACTTCCGTCGCAAGAGAAGCACGCAAATCTGCAAATGTACTGGATGTGCACCCACAGATTTTCTCTTTATAGCAACGATAGCGGATCTGATTCTGATTGAAACAGATCAAGACAAGCGCCAGATAACTGTCTAATCCACACAACTGGCGAAGCCATGTGAATCGACCCCCCAATGCACACATTGTCTACAGACACATATATGCATACACACATACA